GGGGGTTGCTATGCATCGGAACTGACTCAATGGTAGCGAGTTTGATTTTTGTTTTGTACTTACACTCACTGTTAAAGGACCCAGACATAATGAAGTTATATTAAATTGTAGATGTCAGTCCAGTGGAATATATAACTCTCAAAGTCATGGTTTATTGCCCTAAATCTAACTCACAAATTTTATCCTGACATTCATCTTTTTATCCATATGCATACAGATATTAATATAGATACAGATGGAAACCAAACCAAACTCACTGCCTTAGGGTCAATTCCAACTCATAGTGACCCCCATTGTGTTTGTAAGGCTGTAAATCTTTATGGAACAGACTGCCTCATTTTTCTTCCATGGAGTAGTGGGTTTGAACCCCTGACCTTCTGGTTAGCAGCCAAATGCCTTAACCACTGCACCACCAGAGCACCTTCAGATATAGATATGTGGCTTCTCAAATGCTCTCTGAATTAGTTTTAACTTCTTACTGGTTTCCTTATTAATTCCTGAGTTGAAAACAAATCTTTGATGTGTTAATTTCATATTTTTATGAAAGCCATTATTTTATCTCTTTGAAAATTTTATTTTAATACTGATAATAACATCAGTTGCTTTACCTTTAAGCCTTCTGGTCCTTGTTCACCTGCATAACCCTTTTGACCTGGTTTTCCCTAGAAAAAGAAGAATATTAAAAAAGAAAGAAAGGAAGAGAGAGAGATGTATAGTCATTTCAATTTTGAAAGCTTCCTAAGATTTATAAAGTTTAAACTATTCTTATAAGATGAAATGTTTCAAAATTATTTGATAAATATATTTTATCATAATCAGTTGCCATTAATTCAATGAATATTCACTGACTGTCTCCTACATATCAGGTACAGCTCTAGGGCTAGGGATTGAGGAATGCACCAAGCCTACCTACCATCACAGAGCTTAAATCCTAGTGAGGATGGCACTTAATTTAATAAATAAATAAAACGTATAGCATGTTAAACAAAAAATAAAACCCACTGCTATTAAGTCAATTCTGACTCACAGCAACCCTATAGGACAGGGTAGAACTGTATCAGGGGTTCCAACGCTGTAAATCTTTGCAGAAGCAGACTGCCCCATCTTTCTACCACTGAGTGGTGGATAGGTTCAAACTGCCAACCTTCTGGTTAGCGGTCAAATGCTTTAATCACTATGCTGTCAGAGCTCCTTAATAAATATGAAAGATATAAAACCAGGCAGGTAAGAGGGATGTGAACTGTTGTGGAAGTTTTGTTGAAATGTTTGATATGATTGCCACCTACATTGGAAGGTGATGTTTGAGTAAAGACTTAACAGGACATGTTACATGGATATCTGAGGGAAGAAAAATCTACGCAGAGAAAAATAGCATGTGCAAATACCATGAGGCAGGAATGTGCTTGGAACTAGGAGGAGCCAATGTGGCTGAAGCAGAATAAGAAAGATCAGGAAGAAGATGAGGTCAGAGAAGGGAATGGAAGCTGGGGAACAGATCATGTAGGTTAGAGTGAGGACTCTGGCTAATACTCTGAGTAAGACAGAAAGCTTTAGTCCAGCTTTGAGAAAGAAGTAACATGATCTGTTTTTTCATACAATCACTTTTGTGCGAGAGCAGAAGGAAGGAGTATCTGCAATAATCCCAGGGAGAGATGATAAGAGTGGTATGCATCAGGGCTGTAATCCAGAGCAAAGTAGGTAGTGAGAAATGGTGATTATGGAAAAGGTTTTGAGGAGCTTCCAGGAACTGCCCATAGGTCAAAGGTGGAATGTGAGAGAAAGATGAGAGTTAATGAACTCAAGATATTTTTATTTGAGTAACTGTCCCAATGAAATGGGAAAGATTATTAGAAGAACAAGCTTGGAAGGAAAAGTAGAATTAGAGTCTTGGACATGAAAGTTTGAAATACTTGTTAGACACCTAAATGGAGAGTACAGATATACAAATCCAGAATTTGGCAGGAAGAAAGTTATGAACTGAAGATGTAATTTTTGGAATAATCAGCATTTTGATTGTATTCAGGGAGGCCTGGTAGCACAATGGTTAAAGTGGTTGGTTGCTAAATAAAAGGCTGGCAGTTCAAACTGTGGCATAGTGCCTAAAGAATCTGACTGCTAACCAGAAGGCTGTTGGTTCAAACCCACCAACCACTCCGCAGAAGGAAGGTTGTGCAATCTACTTCCATAGCGATACTCCCTTGAAAACCCAAGGAGGGGTCACTATGAGTTGTATCCAACTTAACAGCTATGAGTTTATAGAAGCTCTGGTGATATAGTGCCTAAGGCATTTTACTGCTAACCAGAAGGCTGGCAGTTCAAACCCACCAACCACTCCTTGGCAGGAAGATCGGGCAATCTACTTCCACAGTGATACTGCCTCAAAAACCCAAGGAGGGGTCGCTACTAGTCAGATCTGACTTGACAGCAGTGAGTTGAGTTGAGTAATTCTATGGGAGAAAGATATGACACCATGTTACCATAAAGATTTACAGCTTTGGAAACCTATGGGGCACTTTTACTGTATCCTTTAGGCTCACGATGAGTTGGAATTGACTTGATGACAGTTTTTTTTTTTTTTTTTTAGCTAGTTGGTAGTATTCAAAACCACAAGATGAGATGAGCTCATCTAAGCAATGACTGCAGACAGAAAAGAGCTCCAAGGCCAAATCCTGAGGCTCTCAAAAATTTAGAATTTAAAAAAAAAATGAGGAAAAATATGCAAAATTTCTGCCAGAGAGTTAGGAGAAAACTATGGAAGTGATCAGCTCTGTCAAATTCTGAGGGATATGAGTAATAGGAGGATTATGAGGACTGAGAAATGATCACTGGATTGATTCAATAACATGGAGGTCATGATGACCTTACCAAGATCATTTGTAATTTTGGAACAGAAACTGATGGAAGAAGGAGAAAAATTGGAAACAACATGTATAGACATTTTCAAAGAGTGTTACAGAAAAGGGAAGAAGATAAATGAGTTAACATCTAAGGGGAAACTAGAATCAATACAAGTTTTGTTTCTATGCTAGAGGAAGAAATAGTATGCTTCTATGTAGATAGAAATTATCCAGGAGAGAGAGAGAAAAAAAAAATTATGATGAGAGAGAGAGAGAGAGAGAGAGCAAGAGAGTGAGAGAGAGAGAGAGAGGAGAATTGCTAGATCAATATTCTGAGTAGGTAAGGGGATAAAGAATCTAAGGTACAAGTGGAATGACCTTGGCTAGAAAAATGGCCTATTTTTTCTTGACAACAGGAGAGGAAGCCGAGTAAATAGGCACAGCACAGGAAGGTGGACACATGATAGCTGGAATCTGTAGAAGTTCACTTCCTATTACTTTATTCTCAGAGCAATAGGAAGTGAGGTGAATGGTTAAGAATGAGGATGAGAGAGAAGTGAATGGAATTAAAGGAGAAAAAACATATAAATAATAATTTAGAAAAGTAAAAAAGTTATGGCAATAAAGGTCAAGATGTATTCAAAGTAATAATTATAATATTTTAAGCAGAATGAGGAGGCATGTGATGTCATAAAGGAAATGAGGGATAATGGAAAGGCAGCAGGACTGAAATTCCTGATGAGGCTGTTGGATTGGGTTACAAGAGGGAATACATCATAACAATAGGAGATGGTGGTGGGAGAGTGAAAAGTTTGAAATTGAAAGTAAGGAGAGTTTGCTGTCATTAGTAATGCCAAGGCCAAGGGGATGAGCACAGGTATGAGTAGATTTAACAGAGAAAATGATAAGATCACTGGAGAAGATGAAGCCAATATCTCAGATACTGGGTGAACTTATGTAGTTTCTAACAGGTGATATCTGATTATACAAGATTTAATTACAGAAATTGTACCTCAACCAATGTAAGTGAAAAATTTAAATCTATGAGTTAAAATGGGAGGTGGTGGAGACTGCTAATTACAGAAATAATATATGTTATCTGCTAGACATTAGAGATTTAGACTTCATGATCGCTGCTATTTACAAATAAAAACATTTACAAATGCTGTCATATTTTTCCTTCTTAAAACAAAACAACCTCCTGGCTCTCTACATGTAAGAGATTTAGTAAATTAAAAATATGCTTATGACTTCTACCCAAAAAAACAGCAACTATATATATAGACCTCACCAAAGACTATATACGGGAATTAAATTGACTGTATCTGTGGGAAGATGGAGAAGCTCAATATCATCAGGTAGAACAAGGCCAGGAGTTGACTATATAATACACCATCATTGCTCATAAGCAAGTTCAAGTTGAAGCTGAAAAATATTAAAACAAGTCCACAAGAGCCAAAGTATGATATTGAATATATCTCACCCATGTTTACAGACCATCATGAGAATAGCTTTGATGCATTGAACATTAATGGCTGAAAACCAGACATGTTGTGGAATGCCATCAAGGACATCATACATGAAGAACAAAAAAGGTCATTAAAAGGAAGGGAGGAAAGAAATGATCAAAATAAATGTCAGAAAAGACTCTGGAAATTGTTCTTCAACATGGAGCCGATACAGCAAATGGAAGAAAACATAAAGTAAAAGAAATGAATAGAAGATTTCAAAGGGCAGCTTGAGAAAACAAAGTAAGGTATTATAATGAAGTATGCAAAAAGCAAAAGGGAAGAACACACTTAGCGTTTCTCAAGCTGAAAGGAGTGAAGAAAAATATTCAAACCTCAAGTAGCAATACTGAAAGATTCTAGGGGCAAAATAATGAACTACTCAGCAAACATCAAAAGAAGATAGAAGGACTACACGGAGTCACTGTATCAAAAAGATTTGGCCAATGTTTAACCACTTTAGGAGGTAGCATTTAATCCAGAACCAATGGTATTGAAGGAAGAAGTCCAAGCTGCACTCACGGCTACAGGAATTGATGGAATACCAAATGAGATGTTTCAACAAATAGATGCAAAGCTGGAAGTGCTTACTCATCTATGTCAAGAAATTGGAAGATAGCTGGTTAACAGACTGGAAGAAATACTGCCCATTCCAAAGAAAGATGGTCCAACAAAATGTTTTCAATGACAGGAAACAGCCAGAAATTCAAGCCAGATTCAGAAGTCATGGAATGAGGGATATCATTGCTAACATCAGATGGATGTTGGCTAAAAGCACAGAATACCAGAAAGATGTTTACTTGTGTTTTATTGAATAATTCCACTATGTGTATCATAACAAATTATGTACAAAATTTCAAAGAATGGGAATTCCAGAACACTTTATTATGCTCATGTGGAACTTGTACATAGACCAAGAGGCAGTCATTCAAACAGAAGAAGGGAATACTGTGTGGTTTAAAATCAGGAGGAGGTATGTGAGGGTTGTATCCTTTCACTATACTTATTCAGTCTATATATGAAGTGTATACACCGAGAGGCTGGACAATATGAAGAAGATTGTGGCATAGAGATTGGAGGAACACTTATTAACAATCTGTGATATGCAGGTGACAGAACCTTTGTTTGCTGAAAGCAAAAATGATTTGAAGCATTTACTGATGAAGATCAAGGAGTACAGTCTTCAGTATGGATTACACTTCAACATAAAGAAAACAAAAATCCTCACACCTGGAACTGTAAGTAATATCATATAAATGGAGAAAAGATTCAAGCTGATTTTTTAAGATTTTAAAAATTTCATTTTACGTGGATCCA